GTTGCACTCGCGTCTCGCACAAAGGAGCCGCATGTTTAGAAAGCCATGTAAAATTAATGCAAGTTTAACTTTGAAAAAAAACATATATCGAGACTTTATGGCGGGTTTTTTCCCATCCCACTGCATCTCATGTTTTTACATGAAAAATGTACTCTGTGTGCTTGGCTTTGGATACATACATGATGCTGTTTTGTTTATAGTTGTTTAAACAACTTAATTAATTATAATTGGTTTATAAACATTATTTTAAACATTATGCACTTTTTTCACAGATAGTCATGTTATCTTTAAATAAACATGCATTAGTAATATTTTGCTCGATGCGCCCTCTTGTGGCCTCAGAAGAGAAGCCAAAAGCTTTTCTTCACCCTAACTGAAATTATGCATTTTAAATTCGAGTATTGATAATATTTAAGTACAAAATTCGAATTTAGTTTTTCAGCCATTTTGAAAGCCCTACTCACCACCGAGTCATCAATGCAGCGTATGAAGTTTCGGCTCATGTCCAAAGTAGTGAGCATCTTCCACGTGGGAATGATCGCCGTCACGGGACAGTCCGTATCAACACCCTCAGGTTCCCACTGCGCAAATTCGGACGCTTCAGGAACTAAGATTTCCTATTGAAGACGGAGCATACATTATCATTCGGACAACTTTCAGCACCACTGAAAAAAATCATTAGTTTTAAGACTTTTGTTTATCATTTTTACTTTTACAGATGCAAAAACTTTCCAACCTTTTAACAGACCCTAAAAACATTTCTTGATACACGTTCCTGCATTTTTGAGATTCATAAAACAGTGACAAATGGTCTAGCGTGCCTTCATGCTGCTGGCTGAGAGGTGTATGCTGAGCGTGGCAAGAGTGGGCTTTAGGGAAGGCAGATCTTTGATTTGTCCGACATCACAATCACTGATCTGAGAATGAAAGTTAAGTGTTAGAAACATCATCCACCACAGACCCTGACAAAACACAAATCGTGAGTTTCTTCACCTCGATCTGAAGCAGCGATTTAAAGATGGACAGGTCAAACGGGAGGCTCTGCTCCTCGATGTTACTCGTCCCCACCATTGCTTTCATTCCAGGGATCTGAGTGTGAAGATTTAATGTCAACAGCAGATAAAACAGGAGAGTTCGGACACTTTTGTGCATTTTTTTATACTGTATTTTCAATAGAGAATATAAAGAATTTGAGATACCAACAGTGAACCAATATGATACATTTATACAGTTTATATATATAAACTGATATTGGCACTAGTATTTGATGACATTTAGTAAAGTGCCAAACTCAAACCTTGAGGTACTTGAGGCGGCAGGTGAAGTCCAGGATGTGTCCCAGGTCAGCTCTGGCGTCTCCGTTGGTACAGGTTGGTTTGGCGAGTTTCAGCTGCTGTGAGACGGCGTACAACTGGAGCGGCCTGAGGAGAAACACCTCGCCTGCAGCCAACAACTGCTCACCTAGAAGAAAAGACACAACTACGACATTTTAGAGATCTTAATAGAGGCTGTACAAATCAGCAAGATTTTTTACAAAAATAAATACTTTAATTCAGCGGGATGTATTAAATTGATCAAAAGTGAAAGTAAAGACATTTAGAATATAAAGATTTCTATTTCGAATAAACAGTTCTTTTGAACTTGTTATTCATTAAAGAATCGTGTTAATAAATGCATCGATGCATATTAAAAATATTACGCTTGTTGAATAATAAAGTTGAAGTTTTCAACTTTGATAATAAATAAAAGTTCCTTGAGCAGTAAATCAGCATATTAAAATGATTTCTGAAGGATCGGAGTAATGATGCTGAAAATTCAGCTTTGCATCACAGGAATAAATTACACTTTAAAGTATATTTCAACAAAAAACAGTTATTTGAAATTGTAACGTTTCACAATTACTATTTTTACTGTATTTTTGTTCAAATAAATACAGCCTTGATTAACACAAGAGACTTCTTTTAAAAATCTTACTGATGCCAAATGTTTGAACTAGTTTAATGTAAAACTGCTCATATTATGTATTATGCAAAATTAGCAAGTAAATAAAAAGTATATAAATATATATACAGTGGGGCAAAAAAGTATTTAGTCAGCCACCAATTGTGCAAGTTCTCCCACTTAAAAAGATGAGAGAGGCCTGTAATTTTCATCATAGGTATACCTCAACTATGAGAAACAAAATGAGAAAAAAAAAATCCAGAAAATCACATTGTAGGATTTTTAAAGAATTAATTGGTAAATTCCTCGGGAAAATAAGTATTTGGTCACCTACAAACAAGCAAGATTTCTGGCCCTCACAGACCTGTAACTTCTTCTTTAAGAGACTCCTCTGTCCTCCACTCGTTACCTGTATTAATGGCATCTGTTTGAACTCATTATCAGTATAAAAGACACCTGTCCACAACCTCAAACAGTCACACTCCAAACTCCACCATGGCCAAAATTTCAACAGGGGATTTGTAGAAAAATGCAATGAGGGTTATTTTTTATAATCTATTTCTATTATTTTTTATCATCATCTTATTAATTGTTATCATTGGTCCAATATGAACAACAATTTTATAGGTACCAGATTGCAGTTATTCATCTTTTCTATGTTACATTAAAATATTTGATGTCTGATTTCACTTTAAGCATGCAAAAGTCTCATTTGGAGCTTTATTATAGTAGCCCATTACATTGTTTATCGGCCAATACATTGAATGCTGTACATTTCAAGCATTTAATAACTCTAGGATTGAATAACAACACACCCTTATGAAAGAGCTCTTCAGCCAGGGCCGCAGCAATTCCATTGATTTCCTGAAAATAATGAAGTTCAAGTCAAAGATGGATTCTCTCACAACAAACCTTATTCAAACATTACATTTGGTCGTTTTAGATGTTCACAAATTACAATGAGTGGCCTTGTTCATAGACTAAACTGCAAAAGCTGCACCAGCCGAAACAGCAATGTCACTGGAACTAGTTTAATGACCTGCATGTGCTTCGTCAAATCATTTCCTGAAAGATTGTACCAGGGGAAAGCAGAAATAACTTCTGATTTCCTCATGACATCCTGTTTAAAGGAACAGTTCACCCCAAAATGAAAATTTACTGAAAAAATACTCACCCTCAGGCCATACAATTTGTAGATTAGTTTATTTCCACATCGGAACAGATTTGGAGAAATGTAGCATTATATCACTTGTTCACTAATGGATCCTCTGCAGTGAATGGGTGCCGCCATTATGAGAGTCCAGACAGCTGATAACAACATCACAATAATCCACACAACATTTATTTAGAACTGTTTTAGCTTAAAAATCTGTGCATATTTCTCTCCTGATTCAGACGAAGCAAATTTTCACAGGAGAACGCAATATTATGGATAGAGCACTTTTTCACTTCACAAGACATGAACTGATGGACTGGAGTGGTGTGGATTACTGTGATGTTTTTATCAGCTGTTTGGACTCTCATTCTGACGGCACCCATTCACTGCAGAGGATCATGCTACATGCTACATTTCCCCAAATCTGTTCCGAGGAAGGACAAACTCATCTACATCTTGACATTTTCTGCAAATCTTCCTATTTTGTTGAACTACTCCTTTAATGATTTGCGTGTGCTTCTTCAACTCATTTCCTGAAAGATCTCGCCAGAAAAGCAGAAATAACTCTTGATTTCCTCATGATATCTTGTTTAGAACTGTTTTTCTTTCTACGCATTCTGAGAAAATTAGTTCTAATGCATGTTAATGTGCACAAATGCCAATGCCAAAAATGCCAATCAAGGACAAATGCACAAACATAAAGCTCGTCTGCGCTCCAAAACAACTCAGTCCTGTCATATGCCTACTCCAGACAAAAGCCTTACAGAGATCAATATCAATACCACTACTGTGAGCACGAGAACAAGACTTACGGCCAGATAACAGGCCTTGCTGTTCCTAGAACCATTTATACGGCTGAGATGAGAGAATGCAGTGCAACACGATTCATCTTCACAGGATGAAGGCAACAGCGCAAGAGTTGCATGCAGTTGCTTTGGATGGATTACACACAAACTCCGGTTAACATTTAACCAGCATGTGACAGATAAAAAGGAATCTTCTGTTTACAATCTTCTGCTTCCTATCAAACACAAAGCACAAACAAACTTACATATAAGTGAAAGAGTAAGAAGTTAGACAGGACTTTGGGGGTCGATGCAGGGAATCTGCTCAGGAGCGTTTGGAGATAAACCTCCAGCTCCTTTTGTCGCTTCTCCACGAGGCTTTTGGAATTTTTGCCGATGATCTTCTTGGGCGGCAACAGATGCTTATCGATCTTCTTCTCCACAGTGAGCTGAAGTCAACAACATTTCATCAGTTTTAGCAGTCACTCACTATGAACACAATGTCAGTATCTGAGGTCTGATCTGTTGTTGATGACATAACTCACTTTTTCGTGCAAATCGTGAAAGTCGCTGTATCGATGCTTGACAGTCCACCTGTGATCTCCAACATTCACCTCTATGATGTAAACCTGAAAATATATATACATCTTTACATTTGTTTTTCATAATTAATATGACATTATTCGCCAATATTTCTCATTAATGGGTGTTTTAATCTCTGCAAACCAACAAACACCCCTCCACTTTATCATACCATCAACATAATAATATAACTGTGTATTATGCAAATGAGCATGCAAATAATTAAAAAGGCCTGACACTAATCGCTATTATTATTACTTAGTAACAATTAAACACGTGACTCATTTAAACATTGATATATTATCCCCATATTTTTATTTATTATTAACAAACATCCGCTCTTATGCAAGAAACGTGCTTCATTAAAACGTCTACTTTATCTTAAAGGTTACACAACTAATCTATTAACCAACTAAATATACTTTTAACCACCAAATCTAACAATATAAATCACGTTCATGTATTTATTCAAAAACTGCTAACATACTTCATCAGTTTTAGCAGTCACTCACTATGAACTATGAACACAATGTCAATATCTGAGGTCTGATCTGTTGTTGATGACATAACTCACTTTTTCGTGCAAATCGTGAAAGTCGCTGTATCGATGCTTGACAGTCCACCTGTGATCTCCAACATTCACCTCTATGATGTAAACCTGAAAATATATATACACATCTTTACATTTGTTTTTCATAATTAATATGACATTATTCACTAATATTTCTCATTAATGGGTGTTTTAATCTCTGCAAACCAACAAACACCCCTCCACTTTATCATACCATCAACATAATAATATAACTGTGTATTATGCAAATGAGCATGCAAATAATTAAAAAGGCCTGACACTAATCGCTATTATTATTATTATTATTATTAATTAGTAACAATTAAACACGTGATTCATTTAAACATTGATATATTATCCCCATATTTTTATTTATTATTAACAAACATCCGCTCTTATGCAAGAAACGTGCTTTATTAAAACGTCTACTTTATCTTAAAGGTTACACAACTAATCTATTAACCAACTAAATATACTTTTAACCACCAAATCTAACAATATAAATCACGTTCATGTATTTATTCAAAAACTGCTAACATAAACGTGAATATGCGCTGAACAACCGACCCAACCGACCCATATCAAACTAACCGTGTAATTCTCCACCAGCTCGGATCCGACGATACGGACGCGTTTCTCCGCGCTGTGCTCCGGTAGATGCGGCGCGTCCATCTTCACTTCAGCGCGAGTTTGAGCGCGTCGCGATGAAAAATGCAAATCTAGCTGTCATGTCGCGCCTCCATCTTTGTTGTGGTTTAACGGGAGCGAAGCGCCTCCTTCTCGTGTTTCTCACGCACCGCGGCGCTCACACACAAAGAGAGCTTTATCGCCCCCTACCGTAGAAGAACGTTACTACTCAAGCTCAGTTTTATATCGTCAGCAGAACTTCAATTATAGATATCAATGCTATCACTCCATTGATCTAAATTAGGGTGAATTCAGTGAGATTATCCTATTTATTTTATGAAGTGATATTTCACGTAATTGTCTGATCTTTTAATATATATAATGAATAATATATGTAACGACTTTATTTGTGTTGGATATCAGAGTAAAGCTATACTTTAATAGAATTTTGATATTAAACACATTTTCTTAAATATTTTTACATATACAAATACATATGTATCTAAAACACATGTTTATGTGACTCTTTCTATCACAAACCCGCTAAACTCGTGCAATTTCTCCTCTAGGGGGTTCAGAAGCAAGGAATTGTACCCAATTCTACATTAGAAATGAATAAAATCTAAATAAATAATTACAAATTGTGACAACTTTAACAATTCTGTAAATTAGATTATAATTGATCGTTTTGAATGATATGTAGCCTGTGTGTATAAATTAATTCAAAAAATATCGGTCAAGTATTATTATAAATATTCTTACAAAATAATATTAATAATGATAATAATTTAGCTACCATGACTGCAAGAAAGAATGCTAACAATTATTTAATCAATATAAATAAATAAATAAATAAATTCAGCTCACATATGTGAATTTAGTAACAAAGGAGGGTTTGTTCCCAGCATGAGATCCGGCCATCGGCATTTATAGGCTTATTAAAAAAAGTTGTGAAATAACTGCCTAACAACACTAACTGAACACTGGTGCCGCAAAAATAATGGATTTACTCATCGGAGCTGATCAGCGGTCTAACAGTGCTGTCGAAGTCAAAATGACAGATGGCCAATAAAATCTATGAAGGTGGACATTACCCGTTTACAGGGGTGTAAAAAGTTCTGGAAAATTATACTTAAATCCAAATACAGTAGAAAGTTGTACAATTTTAAAATGTACTTATTTAAAAAAGCATGACAAAACATGGGCGTCGCTAGACCAGTTTTAGGTTTTAGGCTATAGCCCCCCTAAAATTGCGATTACTGTAGTTCCATAAACTGTACACGAATTCGGGATCGCCTCAGCCCCCTTTAAATTTCATCTGAAAACGGCTCCTCAGTCTTTCAGCGCGTTCTTTTTCAGTCTGCAGACGGCGGCGGTGCAGAGCGAGAAACAGAGGACGGTGTGGGATTATCGACACTGGCCATCATGGAAACAGCTTTCAGCACACGGTGGAATGTTCTTCGGTTTGGGACATTGACCCGGCTTCACTGCGAGGACACAGATAGTCAGCTTTAGTTTGTGATCTCCTTCCAGATGATTGGGGTGGACACCGTCCAGGCTTTGCTGTTATACAGACACATGACCGAAACCGTCACTGAATGCTGAACAGTTCCATTCACTTAAATTTAAAAAAAAAAAAAAAAAAAAAAAAAAACTTTTTCTTTCTCTTTATTTATTCCTTCTTTTACGTATCCGGTCCATGAACTTCCGTCTGCTAGCCATCAGAGGTCACCCTTTCCATTTTCATTGACTCTCGCACTACACACTGTTGCATTTCACCCCGGACTACATATCCCAAAAAAAAAAAGGGTTTTACATAACATTTTTCTGCTTAAACAAGAGGATCATTAGGGGCCAGGGAGCGTGGTTCCTGCATTTGTAAATCAGGGGTTTTGCATTAAGCCTCAAACCTTAATACAAATTTTACATATTCACCTGCTTCAAATCAAAAGCGTTTTAAAACCCATTACTCATTCCTAAACTGTTACTTTCAAAGACTGAGAGTCACTTATTTCTGCATTTCTTCAGGCTGTGTAACGAAGTCAACAGATCTTCTCACCTGCGGGTCGAGTAGCATCTGTTAAGCTCAAGTATCCGAACAGACACAATAAAACAGCAATCAACGAGAAATACACTCGAGCTGTCATCCTCTGTCGATCTCTGCTGGCAAGTGCGCTGAATTGGTGCATCAGGAGAAGCGGACAACACAAATCTAAAACGAATAAACGTGTTGCTGCAATATCAACCGCTGTAAAATAGGGTTTTATAGATCCAATGAGATCAGGTCCGTTCCAACCCTGATCAAACTCACCTGCCTGTAGTCTTCTAGTAATCTGACTGGAAGGCCTTGATTAGCTTGTTCAGGTGTGTTTGATTGGGGTTGGATGAGCTGAATGCTGCGTTCACACCATGTCATAATAACTAAGGTAGCCTAATATAGCGACCAGAGATGAAGTACAAATACTTCGTTACTGTATTTAAGTAGATTTTTTTGGTATCAGTACTTTACTTCACTATTTATTTACGTCTTTTTACTTTCACTCCTTACATTTTTACACAAATATCTGTACTTTCTACTTCTTACATTTTCAAACCAGGCTCGTTACTTTAGTTTTAATCTGTATTTTTGCCATTCGATAATAAATCTCTAATAAATCATGAATCGGTTAGTCTTGACTGGCAACGCTCTGATTCTCGTGCGCTCCGCCAAAAGGTTTTGATCAGAGTATTCAGTGCGAGAGTCTCCAGAATGGAGAAGCAGAGAGGCAAAATACTGATCTGTTCAGGACTTCAAGTGCAGGTCAGTTTCATCTGTAAATAGGCGACTGTAATTTAGTTTTCGCTTAGTTAAGCTGGGCCTGAATTTCAGC